AAGATATGAACTAAGAAAAACATCTACTAAATTTATTTATTTATACAAGTAGTCTCATTGAGCCATGAGAACTCATTTTCAAGAGAGACCTGTTTAGGGAGCACATGATGGTGCTCAGGGGCCCAGAGTGAGGTGAATGAGGGTGGAGGCAGGTGTGGGTGTTTCACCTTTTCCACCCTCATTTTGATGTTGACGGTACTGGGAGGTGAACCTGCGACTTTCCGATCACAATCCCATCTTCTAACCTCTGCGCCACCACTCCCACTTGTTAAATATACACTAAGCACTAATAGCATTAAAAAAAAAAGAAAAAAGAATACGTCGAACATCAGCACAAACATGAACATGAGTCTGTGTGAGCAGATGAGCACGCATGAACATATCAACATTGAAACAGATCAGCAGTAACATAAAACAGATCAGCAGCAACATGATGTGATTTTTTTCACTGTGATTATTCTGGTTACAGATTCATGAGTCTAACAGCCTCAGGGTAGAAGCTGTTCCTCAGTCTAGTGGTTCTACACTTAATGCGCCTCAACCTCCTTCCTGAGGGGAGTGGGGCAAAAAGTGTGTGTGCTGGGTGAGTGTGGTCCTTCATTATGCAGGTGGCCCTCTTGCTGCATCTAGAGGTGTAGATGTCTGTGATGGTGGGGAGACTGATTCCAACAGTCTTCTGTGCAGCCTCCATGCCACACGTTGATGCTGGAGCACAGGATGCTCTCCGCTGCACACCCGTAGAAGGAGATGAGGACTGAGCTTCCCAGACTAATCAGTGATTTATCACATTCATACACCAATGGGACACACATCGGAGGCAACGAGGGGTTCAGTGTCTTGCCCACAGACACTTTGGCATGTGACTGCTGGTGGATTGGAACCCCCAACTCTTGCATTGGAAGACGACTGCTCTAACCACTCAGCCACAGCCGCCCCAACAGTGTGGATATATACATATATATTTATGTGTGTGTATGTGACACACACGAAGATGTGATCACATTGTTTTGTTTTACTAGTGATATAATGGTCGTAAAACAAGTGGAAAGTGCATTGATTTGAGTTGATGCACCTTGTTATGCCACCAGAGGGCAGCACTTCCACTGAGACGGCTTTGGTGCGTTCCTTACTCTGCCCTATCTATGACTGACACCTGCTGGAACTTAAAGATCCCCACAGGCAATTTATTTGACAGACTCACCTGACACTGATTTGATCACCTACTATATACTGTACAATAATATGATTTAAGTAATTGTATTTTATATTATTTCATATTTTACTTTAAATTTAAAATATATTTGATTTTTTTAGATACAGTCAATAAATAATGCGAACATGTATTATAACATGAAAATATAAGTGAACTTGTTGTGAATGAGGATGTTTGTGGACTGGGATTGTTTTTTAAAACAAATTTTTATTCTAAAAAAATAAGTTTGGCTTTCAGTCCTTCAGGGTGAAATTCAGCAGAGCCTCCTCCAGCATCTGCTTCCTGGAATCTTGAAAGTTAGAAATGAGATAAAGAATAAATTAATAAGAATTAATTATCAATAAAACAACAGTAAGTTGTAGAATGGTTGTATACCTGAGTTTACCCTGGATGTATCTGGAACTTCATTCTCATGCCTGGCCCTATAATGCAGTGATCCTCACTATTTATTTATTTTTCATTTTTTTCAAAAGAGCCATATTGACAGATCCAAGTCAAGGGGAGAGCTGCGATATCACCCCAAGTCACTCAAAGAAAAAAATTGAACGACCCACCTATGAACAAAAAAGAAACACAGCCAGCACATTATCTGTTTAAACAAAATGTACATTAGTCCTGAGAGGAGAAGCTGTGCTGCATGTCCTTGACTTTCTTCATGTTGTAATTTGTAGTTGCAGCCACAGTGAGACATTCAAGATGAGCATGGATCAGTGGGTTTCTCTGTTTTTGCTTGATAGTGTTCACCGTTGAAAATGTTGACTCACAGGTGTAAAAATGTCAGCTTTTATTACCCCAATCCCCTGAAGAAAACACAAGTCAACAGTAACAAAGAATACCAAAGTCCATGCTCATCAATGAATATGTGTATGGATGAAGATGCCTCCCTTCACATTTCCACCTGCCCCCTCATGTAACCATGCCTAGAACCGGCCCTGCAATTCTACTTCCTTCACTACAGATGGCAGAAGGTGCGGAGACGCGCGCGGCCGGTGATCAGCTGATCCTTCTGAGGTTAACAGGACTTTTTGTTTTTACCTCTACCGGCTGGTCAGACCTGCCTCCTCCTCCTCAACAAGTAGATCAACAAAATTTTATATTGTGTATTGTTATTTATGTTAGGATTTGTGTCAGGAGCGAACCCAGAGTGCAGAACAGGGACTCAACTCGGCAGATATACAAAAATAGGCTTTTAATGATAAACGAAAAGTACAAAATAAACAAGCTGACGGGGCAGCAAAACTTACATGAACTAGGAAGGAGGCACGGGGAACTCAGGAGACACGAGAGACACGGGGAACTTGAGGGACCAGCAAGACTCAGGGAAAGACTCAGGAGACCCAAGGAAGAGTACCCAATGAAGACGACCCGACGAAGAACAAGACAGAATAGGACGGCTTAAATACAGGGAGAAGACGAGACATGATAACAAACAGCTGGGACGAGACACAGGTAGTAACAATGGAAACTAATGAGGGAGCACGAAGGAAACAGACACAAACCGGGCCACAGAAAAGTACCATCCTTACAATTTAGATCTCTTTGCGCTGTATGATTCATGAAACCGCATCATAGAAGCCCGAGCCGACATGTGCAATTATTGCATAATGCACCAGCACGTTTTAAAAATGTACTGGCTGTGCTGGTGTGTTGTTGTAACCAGTCTCGAGAGACAAGAGCCACCATAAAGCATGGCGAGCCGCATGTGGCTCGGGGAGCCTCAGCATTGAGGAGGTGGATTTATTTAAATATGAAAGTTCTGTCGAACAAATGCGACATTTAACCTGCAGGAAATAATATGAATAGTAAACAAAGAGTGACGTTGAAATTAATTTGAATTCAGATAGATCAAGTGGAAACTACGAACAGGATGCAACTGCAAGGAAATTAAAACAGCTTATTTTCCGATATGAGATCAAAATGGTCCCACAGGACAGAAACCTTTCTTTTGGTTTGAGGCTGCTTCATAATTCTTGATGAATTTAATGATGACCGGCAAAAGATCAGAGATTATTTTGGTAGATGCATCCGGTGACAGATAGTTTATAAACACAGTTTGGTGCCTCAGTGTTAGTTCGAAACAGCTCCTGTAACGGTCACATGATTTTCTAACAGCGATACGCGCACCGACATGAGGGTTGCTTTATGAGCTCGACGCATGCGCTGATGCATCTGTGTTGCCGGACCCATCACTACTCCTGAGTACAATTACCTTGTGTTTTTCATCTTCATTCAACCTGCCTCCATGGGTCCTGTCCAGTCCTGGTCCAACCTTGGTTCTGTCCCTTGTTACTAGCGCCTTGCCCTCCAGCTACTTGCCTGCCTGGTTACTCATCTCTGGATCTCTTTCTGGATTACTTTGGTGCTCCACCTCGCCGTCCAGATCTGTAAGGAGAAAACCAAACAAGTTTCCACGCCTGCTTCAAGACCCACCTGACCTTGTCACTCTTGTGGAACCAACTTCCAGTTTCTGTCCATGAGGCTGACACATTGTCCAGTTTTTAAGGCTGGGCTTAAGACTTGCCTTTTTGATAAATCCTGTAATATGGGTCGGCTTGTCATGCTGTCTTCAGCTTAGACTACTAGAGAACAAATTGACCTCATTTCCTTAAATGAATTGTTAAAATTGAATAGTTTTCATTTGATACTATTTCTATCTTAACATGATTCTTGACCTGCCATTGTGTATCTGTTCCTACCAAACCCAACCAGTTGAAGCAGATGACCACTCGACCTGAGCCTGGTTCTGCTAAATGTTTCTTCGTCACGAGAGTTTTTCCTTTCCACTGTTGCCTTCATGCTTGCTCAAGATGAGAGCTCTGTGATGGAGTTAAATTCAAATCAGTCTGCTCTTCAGAAAAAGTCTTAAATTATTATTTTTAATTATGGATGTTTCTGTTCAGTGCCCTGAAATGACTTGCTGTGACTTGGTGCTATATAAACAAACTGAATTAAATTGTCTCCTTTCTCTGTTTTTTTATTCAATTTGTTAAATGGTTTAATTAGAAAACAACCAAGATCCTGAGAAAACAGTTCTGAGTTCAGCTTGAATAACAAAACCACGTCTGAAAAAGTCAACTTTATTTCTACAAAAGTATGAGCAAAGTGAACACTTTACATGGTTTTGTGTCAGATTTTCTCATTTTTATAAAAAATTCACAGTTTAAATGATGATACAAGGACAGAAATATACCATAAATAGTTTGATTCAAAAACAAGAGGTGGCTTTAAACAAACTGAAGGAACACAGACACACACACGCACACGTGCGCACACACATTCCAGTGCATCATACAAGGCCTGCTCTGCAAATATGATGGAATAAAGTTTTTACATTGAATTCTGTTGAAGCGGTAAAAAAAACAAAGTAAAATAAATAAATCACATTCAGGTGAGCAGAAAGCATTTCAAACAGATTTATTTCACACTAACGGGTCATTTTGTTGTGAACGTTACACTGAAAATCAAAACTGAGGCACATTTTGATTTGTTAAAATTTAAATAAATGTTTTGGAAAACGATTTCTCTTCAGTGAATCAAACGTGAGCCTCTGATAGTTTCTGAGTGTAGAAAGTTGTTTGGACTGCAGTAGCAATACACACACACAGAGCCATTAAATATTTCATAAAATTAAAACAACGGGCTTTACCAGCAGTTAAACATTTTGGTAACTTTATTTTGAAGGTTAGATCTAAACAAGAAACTTGACGATTAATTATGTGTCTGATAAAATAGACTTTTTATTTTATTGTATTTTTTTTAATTAATAAAGTTAAATTTCTAATTTTTGGAGTTTAAAATAAACTGGACCCCATCAAACATAGTGCGTGCTTTTATTTTGTTAATATTCAGAGTAGTACCTGCAGATCACTGGTGTGTCTGAGGAGTGAGACTCAGAACTGCAGGGTGCACATGTTTCAATACTCCTGGCAGCCTGGGCGGGTGGAGTTTGTTCTTCTAAAGGCCAAAGGCTCATCAGATATCCATGTGGTGTTCCAGATGTTCTGGTTGGTGTTAAAATTGGACATCTGTGATAATGTTTGGTGACTAAAAATGTGCAGCTGCCCGAGTGAAGCAGGGGATTGATTAAAGTGTTTTCATGAGCCTCACCTTTTCTTACACGTCATCAAACAGATCAAAAATACTTTTATTAAACTGAGCAAAATGCTCATTATTTTTGTGAGCTATGTGAGTGAATCTGAGGATTTATTGGAGATGCTCTGACATACCTAGTCTAAGGTGAGATCCAGGTCTGACCTGGACTCCACACTCAGATCCGGTTCTTTCTGTGATTTGCTTTTTGGCTGATGGTCAGCCTCGGCGAGCAGCAGGAGCAGTTGGATCAGTGTCGGGTCAGGAGTCTGACCTGTGCGTGACATCAGAATAACACCTGGTCCAGTCTCAGCTGGAGGATCTGGGTCTGCTCTGAGATGTGACACAATGAACCTGTCAGAACATCTTCTGCTTCTGCTGTCCTAAATAAGTTGTACGTTGTGTTAGAGAAGATTCTCTGGCTCTGAGTCAACAGATGGTTCAGCTCTGTCCTCACAGTGGGATCAAACCTGATCCACTGAGCTGGACTGGCACCCTGATTAATCTGAGACAAATCCTGATCAACTGGAAATAAATCAGTTTTCTCTTGAACGTACGGGGCAGACAGACGCTGCTGGTGTGGATCGCTCAGCGCTCTGTGATGAAGGCACATGAAGTCAGTGCGTTTGTGCAGCAACCTGTAGCTGCTTCCTTACCTCTACCAGACTCCGCCCCCTGAAGTCCACGTCAGTCCTCACCCCGTGTGGGTGGAATCAGACGTGGGTGAACCACTGTGATCCCTTCAACAGTTACAGAACAAACAGAAGGACAGGTTACGGCTCTATAGGTGAGTTACAGAAGTGGTCCTCTATCTGCAGGTGGACAGTCCGCAGCCTCACAGCTGCTGCAGCTTTTCTTCATTGTTGTTGTTGTTATAGAGGTGGTGGAGGCCAAGGCCCATCTCCAGACCTGACTGCTTCCTCAGTGCACGTGGCATCAGCTTCTTCTTCAGAAAGAGTTTCTGGAGGAAGCGGTTGCTGATGCTGAACGGGCAGTAGCTGTGGATGAAGTACATGAGGCCGACGCCTGGCCCGGCATAGTAACGCGCCTGTGGCTGTGGCTGCAGTAGCGCCTGGACGATGGCGTTGATGACCGGGCTGAGGTCCGGGTTGGCCTGTTTGGAAAAGCTCTGGAACAGATCCATGGTCTCGGTCATGTAGTCCTCACCGTATTCGTCAAGCAATGCCGGGGACAGACTTTGTAGTAGCTGCTTGTGCTGCTGCTCCCAGTAGGTTTGGTTACTGGAATGACCTGAGGATAGAAGAAGTCAGTGTTACCATGACAACCAGCAGGACAGCATCCTTCTCACAGATCAAGAACATTTTCAAATTTACCGTTTTTACATAACCACTCTTTGTCTATGCAATAAGATTCCTGGAAATAAACCCTCCAGCCAGATGAGCATTGTGCTGTAGTGATGGGTGATGACCAGTAGGGGGGGGGGGGGCTCCTTGTCACTAATTCTGCCCTTCAGTTTCTTTTGTTTGTACATCTTTAGGCCTGAGTCCCAGGTTTGCTGAGCCTGTGAAGTGTGCAGGTGTCCTATCTGAACTGTGTTGCAATTGCACAGGTGAAGGTGAGCTGATGGTGGGGTTTACCTGTTTTGTACGAGGAAGGCAGGATGGTGGACACATGGACTCCCCAGGGCTCCAACTCGTGCCTCAGCGTGTTGGTGAAGAGGTTGAGAGCTGCTTTGGATGCTCCGTATGCTGCCAGGCATGGGAACGGCTGGTCACCTAGAAACACAGGCAGAGCGCTGCTGTGACATCACGCTCACACTGACCAGGGACTTCGCTTGGTGTTCTCTCACTGCAACAGATTCGGTAAAACTTTCAGCTGTCTTTGTGGGACCTAAGCAGCTTCCATCAGTGATGAAGTCCATAAGATTCAGCTAAAAGCCCTTGTTGACCTCCAAATGAGAAAAAAATTCATCTGATAAAATTGACAATGACTCCTTTAAAGAGTTTTGAGTCACTTTTGAGTCCATGTGCTCAAAAACCATTGAGGGCTGGCTGTTACATTGCAGCCTGTAGATGAGAAAATGTGGATTTCAACCAGAAGAAAGAAGCGTTAAAAAACGTTTTTTGTTTGTTTGGACTGAAAGCGAGGTGAACTCTCAGATATAATGTGTCCTGTGATGTCTGCAGGAGCCCAGCACACTGTGTGTGGAACAGCTGAAGCTGAAGGATAGCTTTGTGTTGCTTGTAAACATCAGGGGTCCTCATGTTGTCAGAGGAAGAACTCACTGGACTGAAGAACCATGTGGGTTGCACGAGATCTGGATCTTTAGGGTCTGTGTTGCCAGTAGCCAGTCACAAAGACAGTTTGTTCCTGTTTCTTTGCTTGAATCTATACATTTTCAGTTTCTCTCCATTGGCTTCCTGCCAAATTCAGAATTGAATTCAAAATCTTACTTCTAACATACAAAGCTCTCAACAACCTAGCTCCATCTTATATTACAAAATCCTATTGTTCAATTTGTTTGCAAACACATTAGCAATTGGTCGTTAGTGCCCTGATGGCCGCTTGCTATTTACAGGGGACTGAGTGATACCCTATTTTTCACCATACAAGTTGCACCTTTTTTGCATAAATTTGCAAGTCCTGTGACTTCTACACTGAAGCGACTAATATACGTATGTTTCCCCATATTTATAACCCAATTTTTGGCTGAGAGCAATTTCATTCAGTCTGACATGAAAAATAATAAACATTACCATTTGCAGCTGCTAGACGGTCTTAGACAATTATGGCAAGCCAAGTGTCTCATTAATAGGTAAAAGTGGCTATTAATGAGACACTTGGCTTGCCACACAGAACCACCTTCGTCTCGCTCTGGAAATCCTGGAGCAAACATCTAATCAGCTGCATTTCGCTGCGCTGCCCAGGCGAAATGCAGCTGATTTGGCCGTCAAAGTGCATTTATTAAGGAAAAATTCAATTGAGACACACCTTTACTATAATGTTGAGTGAACAAATAATTGTTTTTAAGTTTTAATCTTGTTAAATTCTTGTTAATGTCCTCCCGAGCACGCTCCCGCGGTCGGCATTTGGTAGCCAATCGATTTTTGATACAACACCAGCCCACGTTTCTGGGTGGTCAGCACCAGGACTTAATTTGTAAACTAATTGATACAGAACAAAAACAGTAGGCTGTCCCGGGGGGGGGGGGGGGGGGGG